CATCACGAAAAAACCACTGGAGGAATTTTGATGAAATTTGGCATGATGGTAGCTGGTTATCCGGGTCAACATATAGGATACTTTTTACAGCGGGAAAATATCTTATTTTTAAGAAATCGATACTAAACGTTAAAACGTAAGTAGGGACGAACCCGAGCGAAGCGAGGGTGAGTCCGCTAGATATTTATATGAATCCTAGATATATAGCAAAGAGAAGGGATGCAGGAAACATCACGAATAGGTCTAATGACTTTGGGTGTACGTCATTCATTGTAGATCATGCAGCATGACGCATACCATTGATTGTAAACCGATGATTCAGTACTTTGCAGGTGTTTTTTCTATATGATTCCCCCGTATGGACTTTTAATATATTGTAAACTAATTGCTATTTTGTATGACTAAAATCAATAACTTTAAATAAAAACTAATATTATAAATGTGAGAGTTTAGATGTTTGGATGTGTGTTACTCAATCACGCCAGAACGGCTGAACAGATTTGGATGAAATTTAGCATAGAGATAGATAATAGTCTGGATAGGCTACTTGTATCTTGGTAAAAGTACGGTTCCCGTGGGACAGATTTGTTTTTGTTTTTATAGAGACGAACCCGAGCGAAGCGAGGGAGAGCCGCTAGTGTAATTTATAATTGAGTGATGAGTGATTTGTTTAAAGCAAATTCTAACACATTTTTAGGATTTCGTTTAGACAATGAAATAAATAAGTTTAAGAAAACGAATACATGCTTTTGACCTACTGTAATGTATGGGGCTTATCATAATGACATGTGTATCTCATGCTCATTTGAGATTCGTTGAAAAGAAATAAGTTAATGCATTTACTAATACCTATCGAAGCGTCCCACAATCCATCTCCTGGCTGATCATATATAATGATATTAAATTATTGTATTACCACCCGGTCTCCGCATACTTAGAAAGTTTCAAATCAATACAACAGAAGTAGGTTAAGATCGATTTTCCAGAATTAAGTCCAGTTACAGGTAGGTAAAGCTGATACAAGCAAGTTGAAATAGAAACCTTAGAAAAACTATGTTTTTATTAAGAAGACAATTATTTCAATATTTACCCCTAACAAATATTGAGCAACGACTGCCAACTACTACGAATAAGAATAATATAATATATACGAAAAACATAAAGAAACCTATCCCACGGGAACCGTACATTCTTCCGGGATATAGAGTAACCTATGTTCTATTACGGACTATAATTTATCTCAGTGCCAAATTTTACCCAGATCCGTTCAGCCATTCTGGCGTGATTGAGTAAAAAACATCCATCCAAACATTCAAATTTTCACATTTAATAATATTAGTAAGATTATATTGCGATGTATGTATGTTCGTTATTCGAGAGATATATCTATGTATAACCGAAACACGATGTTGTTTCATTAAGAAAAATATTAATAGAATATCCATAAAGGACTGTTGTGATTAATTTATATACATATAATAAACCTAAAAGTAATAATTTTTTTACATTCAAGTATACCTATTCATTTGTACCAAATGCTTTTAAATAGTATTGCTCCATCATTATTTTTATTCTAGCTCTGACTTCATTTTTGCATTAAAAATAAAACAATAATGTAAAGCTAATGGCCGGAAGATCTATTTATCGTTGATCATATAAACGCACAATTTCTAAGCGCGCTGACATAAAAATTGTTTTACTTAAGTGGTGAAACTTTTTTTAGTATTCAAATTCTATTTTTATATGTTTTTATACCATATTTATTTCGCCATTGTCACATAAAACCAATAAAAAGGTTTAAAATTGATGAAGGTCCTATTTCAGTTGTTTGGTATTAAGCTAGACCTAGATTCTTTTGTCTAGTAATTTCTGCAAAACTCGGTTGAATTTATTTGACTAGATTAATACATAGGTATATTATAAAGTTTACAAAAACACTTGCGTCTTTGAGTGCGATTAATTAAATCAAGAAAAATATAATATATATAATGATTACAATCTCCGTCTGTAGGGAATTATTTGTTCTCTCGTTTCTCGAATATTAATAACATGTTAATAAAATGTTATATATATATAACGAAGTCGGATTAGTTACACCATTTATAACTCAGGAACGGTTCGTTGGATTTGTCTCCGCCCCGAAAAGCTGAATCTATATATTAATACGTGAAGAAAAAACTTTGTACCCCTTTATACGAAAATTGCACGGACGGAGGAGTATGAAATTTCCCACACTTATAGTTTATATAGAGAAGGAGTGCAGAATGCTAATACTTTTTTAAAATTATGCATAAAATACATTAAATTAATAAAAAAAACATTACACACACTACCATGTATTTTACACACACGCGCATATATACTCTATTGTTTATTGTTAAAGTCTGTAGTCAAATTGAGAAGCAGAACCCGCGGCTTCGCTCGCGCTAAAACTACAAAAAATCTCTAAAAAGGTAGTTTCATACAAACTTTCATCCCCTATTTTACTCCCTTATAGGATGAATTTCGAAAAATGCTAAAACAAGTATTTATTTATTTTTATTGAAGAGCATTAATATTAAGTTTTATAACGTGTTATCCCGTGGGAATTAGATAATTTTCCGTGGTAAAAAGTAGCCTATGCCACTCTTCAGCCCTCCAACTATCTCCACACAAAAAATCACGCCAATCCGTCACTCCATTTCGACGTGAAAGAAGGACAAACAAACAAACACACTTTCACGTTTATAATATTAGTATGCGAGAAGCAAAAACTTTATATCCCTTTTTAAGAAAATTACGCGGACGGTGGAATGTGAAGACACAGTTAAAATTTATATGGAGATATAGTGTAGAAAGCTAATATTATTATACATACCTTAAATTAATTAAAATAAACATTTTGTTTGTGAACCTATCTGCTTATTTTTTGTTTTAGTTCAATAGCTATTGACGAGCATTAGTTTTTATAAATAAAAAAAATCTATAATAATCATGGTCGAAGTTCGACCACTCGGCGAATTCTAGTAACTATTAAAACATCAGAAAAATCACGAAAATTGATTTAAAAAATTAATACTCAATTCAAAAAAAAACATGTTTAACACTGGCTAATAAGTATTTATATCTATTTAAAAACGCACCCGAGTGAAGAGAGGATGAGTCGCTAGTTTATAATAAAATGAACGATATTTCTGCTTATAATTAGGTTTTTTTACTAAAACGTAAGGGAAAAATCATAAAATGATTAAATTAATAGCGCGAATCCGACTCACACATAATTTCATCACCGACCATTTAAATAAACTGCTCTGTGAAACCCATAAAGTTTCATATAAAATGACGCAAAGACCTATGACTTTTCAGTTATTTGGACAATGCAAAAAAACCCCTGGATTATTTACATTGTCTTATGTATAAATATATACATTATACATAGTATGTATTACAATCATAGCTTTTACAAATCAACGAACAGGCATACATATGTATGTTATAAGTAAATATTTATTAAAATTGTGAATTAAACATGAAAATTTACGGTGAGTTTTTTTATATATTTACTAGCGACTCACCCTCGCTCCGCTCGGGTTCGTCTCTGGGGTGGGGTCTGGGAGGACCACCCTTATCCTTATCACTTAGGGGTATGGAAAATAGATAGTAGCCGATTCTCAGACCTACTGAATACGCATATAAAATTTGGTAAAAATTGGTAAAGCCGTTTTGGAGGAGTACGGTAACAAACATTGTGACATGGAAATTTTATATATAAGATTATATTTAATGGTACAATAAGTAATAACTCAATTTTTATTAAGGGTCTGATGTCTATATTTGTTACTTCTTCACCCGTTGAAACGGCTGAACAGATTTGGATGATGTTTAGTAGTTTACAGATAGACTATGACTTGGAGTAAGATGTAGGCTACTTATTGACTTTTAGGCATACGTCCGAGCGAAGCGGAGGTAAATAGCTAGTTTTAATGTTTTGTTTCTTAAATACAATTTATATTAAAATATTTGTTCTGTTTGGGATAAATATACCTACTTATTAAAGTTTCATATGGAAATGAAGGGAAAATTTCTCGAATATTTTATCTAACAAATAGCCTAAATATTTTTTCTTTTATATTTTTGCGACATCGATCTCGTTGTGATATGTATGTATATACTCGTGTTAAATAAAAACAAATGATTATTATAAAGGATAAAATTAAATAAATTTTATAAAATAATATATTTTCACATCCTTAGCTTTGTATGAATTAAATAAGCCATATTGAAATTAGCATAGAGTATATTGCTATTAGTAAGATATATATTTCATCATTGGAGTTGATTTATTTCTCGTTTACCAGAAATAGTAGTATAAGGCCTACAGCTTAAGTCCTAAGACTAAGGTCCTACGCAATACCTATTGATCGACGTAAAGGACGAATGTGTTTTATATATGTTATAATTTGTTTTATCGATGTTTGCTGCTATTATTGGTATGTTCTTTTTTTCAACAAATATCTAAGACTAATACTAATTTAAAAATGTAAACTAGCCATATTTGATACTTTATAGATAATATGTTTAAAAATAGAGAACCAGCAACATTCGAGTATTAAATTATGTTTAATAACTACTAACCATTTAAATAAATAACTAGATTATATATACAAGTCTAGTCATTTATATATAAAAACTATTTTTTATTAATCCTTTAATTAATGTACACAGATAATAACTTGTTACTGAAGTACTCGTATATAAAGAGGAAAACAATAACAAGTTGTAACGAAAATAAAACTGAAATATCAGGGCCGGCTGCTCTAGTGACGGAAATAAACGACCTACTAACAAGCTTTTTACTATGAGTCATTCCTAAAAACTAATAAAAATATTAATATAAACGAATACTAAACTTTAATAAATAATATTTCGATCTTTCTGAAAATACTTTGCATAACCAATTTCAAAAATCTATCAGTTTCATAATAATTTAACTTAATTAAAAATAAATCTGTCCAACTTACCATAAACAAAGCGTTGAAAACAACAAGAAGATATTTTATACATTTCATCCCGCAACCCTCCATTTTTAATAAGAATCCGTCAAAATTCACTCAACAGATTAAGAAAACGCGGGAAGCACTTTTATTTTTTTTAATACGTTCGCGCGGTATCGTGTCCAAGAGACTTATGATTCGGCCAGTGCTGGCGACAAAATGTGGTAATCGTCGGCTTGTTCGGTTTTTAGTAGTGGCATATCGCGTGCAAGGGTTGAAATCACCCCAAATTATTTTGACCTCTAATCGTTATGTCGTAAAGACTTAGATAGGGATCTAAAGAATTGGTGGGCTATAGGTTATTGATCTTATAACATGTGATTAAAGGTAGAAATTCTGATTTGATACGTTATTTATTAGGCCACGAACTTATCTTTTCTATACCTATTCTTTTTCCGATTATTTTAATATAATTTATATGTGGTTATATATTTCTTATAAAATATATATTTTTCATATTAAAATATTAACTAGGTAAAAAAATTATAGCGCTTATTTTCATATTAAAAATGTGTAAATCAAGTTAAAATATTACATAATATTACGTCTATCTTTTAATAACTAACCAACATGAAAATATTTATTATTTATATTAACACAAATAATAAAATTTAGCAAGTTTAGGGATTTACGTCTTTATTTTGAGTAAAAAAGCAACAAACTTGGCAAAAGATTGTTTAAGATTGTTTGAATAATTTCTTATTAAGTAGCTTTTTCGTACATATTATTAATATAATTACCGCGTTCATTTTATTTTATTATGATTTTTATACGTACTTTTAATTTTTTAGAGTTGCCTTTAATATGACTTACCGTTTAAATACGATATATTTATAATTGGTATGGTAATAATTAAGCTAATATAGATATTATAATCTGCTTAAATTTTAATTTAAATAAAAAGTATTACTTTATGAATTTTATAAGGATGTATTTTTACGCTATCGTGATTAAAATTAGATTTAGAAATTAATGATATAATACATAGAATATAAAGAATACATTTTCATCTCATAAGTATTATATATAACAGTTAGTTTCCTCAGTAATTTAATATAATGTAAGTCTGCACATTAGTCTGTTATTATTAATAAAAAAAACCCATCTTCAAGTTTTTGTTTGAGAATATACTTACTGTTAATTTCAATTTTATTTTTGCTCACTAATGTAAACTATTATTATTAAGTTGCTTATAATTAGGGCATCATTCAGACTAGATCTTCTTTTGTTTATTAACATGTACAATTGTAAGGATATATGCTCTATTAGCGACCTATGTAATAAATAAATAAATTAGGCTGGATTCTGTTCCAAAAAACATTCAATCAAACATTGGAAAAAACATATTTTTGATATCTTTTAGTCACCCACGGTCGCCCAAGTACTATTATTAAAGCGCAAATTTAAATTTAGTTAAATTTATAATGCGAAAATTTGTTTGTGTTTGTTTCTTCTTCACGCTATAACGGCTTAAGGATTTAAGTGTTTGGAATTAGAGATAGCTAATCTATTCTAATATTATACAGAAGTAAAGTTTGTGACGTTGTAGGGGGTAATCTCTGGATCTACTGAACCGATTTAGATGAAATTTGGTAAGATAGTTTGAGACCCTGGGAAGGGCATAGGATACTTTTATCCCCGGAAATCATATCCTACGGGGGTGAAAATGGGGATGAAAGTTTGTATGGAGAATCAATCTAGGGACGAACCCGAACGAAGCGAGGGTGAGTCGCTACTTATTGATAAATCTAGTATATTAAAACTCAAGCTTTTTTTCGACGTACCCGATGCAAAACTAGTTAAGTCGCGGGCGACAACTAGTTAACAAATGAATGCCATCTTCATAGTATATTTATGATATTACCTAGATATAATGCTTAATATACGAATGTGATTCTTATGTCATTTATTACACTGAGTCATATATGACGCCATTCCAAAACAAAACGTATGATGACGACATTTTGTCTTTTAATACAGTAATATCTTCAATGAAGTTATTATGTAGGTAAATATACAAGTACTTAATTTATTCAGCATAAAAAATATAATATATTTATTACAATAGCATAAAGTATAGTTTGATGTTTTTGAATTTTCACAAAAAAGATATTACAAAATTAATTTGTGATTAGTCAAATCTAAAAGATAAGAATTAAAACTATGTGTCTGGTAAAATTGTTCTACAACTTTAAGAATAGATTTTAGACACATTTAATATTTAAACAAAACGAAACCAAGTTAAAGGCAGTAAGAAGTAACTATCTGAAATAAGTGATTTTTGATAACTGAAAATTTGAAATGAATTTAAAGACACCAAAACCTCTACGAGTACTATTACTACTATTTTATACCATTATTCTATTATTCCGCTTTTAGAAGTCGATCCTTCTTTATTTAATTATCTTCCAAGTACATGAGCGAGCAAGGCAGTGGTTGTCCAGTGATAACACGCTCGCTCGGGAAACCGAGTTAAGCGGGTTCAAATCCCGGGTACTCTCGCACCTCTGATATTTTCATGTGAGAATCATTTCTAACTTGATTACCACTTGCTTTACGGTGAAGGAAAACCTCGTGAGGAAACCTCCATGTCTGAGAAAAACTAGCAAGTTTTCGAAAGACATGTGAAGTCCGCCAACCCGCACTTGACCAGCGTGGTGGACTATGGCCTGATCCTTTCGTATTGAAGGGAGGCCCAGCCCAGCAGTGGGACCTCAAAAAGAGCTAAATACAAGTACGTGAGGACAAGTTTGAATTTGACTCGTGAGCCAAAGTTACGTGCCTTCATTTTGGAATAGACTCTCAGATTGTAATCAAAATAAAATATTATTTACTAATTCATTCTATTTCGATTCATTGTATTTCTGAATAAGGGCTTAAAATAGATAAGTTTGTTTCGCTTAATCTCAGAAACTATTCAACATAATATCTTGACTTGATCAAAACAAGCGCTGAAAGTGTTTGGCAGTTTTGTTTACTTGACTTTTGTACTTGGAGGTTTTTGAAAAAATATTGTATTAAAATCTATTATATATAACTGGTGAAAACATCACGCAATATACAAAAAAACTCCTCAAATTAAAGACTTATTTTTTAAAAGCTGTTTAAAACTAATCTTTATTAAAATTTTCAGTTTAATTGTTATATAGTAATTTAAAAATATATGTAGCCATTAGCACTTTTTTTTGTTGGTTCGTTAAAGTTAAAACATTTTGGTTTTTTTTCACCGACATCAAAGAAGAGGAGGTACTTTATTCCATTGTATGTTTTTTTCTGTTTGACAATTATGAACCGACTCATTTTTTTTTGAAGTACGTTACGTCAAAAAAAATCTGTCTCTTCGAGTGGAATATTCATTTTTAACTGATTGATTTGTTGTAGATGTAACTTTTTAGTTAAAAAGCAATAATTGAGATTTTACATAAAACTATTTATTCGGTTTTTTTTTTTCGAGAAAATATTTTGATTTTTTGTTCCAAATGATGAAAAAATAGTTCTATTTAAAACGTCAAATATTCGCGTAAATCTAAGAAAGTATTAAGCAATAATTGAGATTAGAATAATTTTATTTAATAAACATTATCCAACGTTTCTATGTTTACGAGAGGAAACTAAGGAAATGCTAACATAACATTCTACGAATAAGTCGTAATCAGATGTGGATGCTGATGCATAATGTACAGAGTGACGCCTATTCATCCGGTTTTATTGTATACGTTTGAATATTGTGTTGGCTATAAAATGTTAACTAATGTCTACTATAGCCAAGGTACATAGTTATTTATTGCATTTTATTTTATTTTAAATATTTTTTAAGTGAAAGGCAGTGGTAGTACTATGGTAACGCGTTGCAAAAAAACCGAGAGAAACAGGTCCAATTCCCGGGTTTCGCTCCTCTGATATTTTCATGGGCGAATCATTGTCAACATTATTACCACTTGTCTTACAGTGAAGGAAAACATCGTAAGGAAACCTGCATGTCTGAGAGAACCTAGCAAGTTTACCAATACATGTGAAGTCCGCCAACCCGCACTTGGCCGGTGTGGTGGACTATTACCTAATCCCCCTGGTATTGAAAAAGGATTGAATAGAATACATACATACATACAAATATTTGAGTAAAGTTACGTTATTTCATTATCTTTGAGACAAGAATGAAGGAGGTACAGAGAGAAAATCGGAGTACGAATTGCAATCATGTAGACGATGTCTAATTTTTGAATAAAAAAAAAAATTATTCTTTATGGCTATAAGTTATATGAAGATATCTTTTCTTAAATATACGTATATACTGTTTCTAATGACAAAAAGAATAACGAAAATTAAATATAAAATACATAGTTAAACTCGTATTATAATAATTAGTGCTAGTGACCCACGCCCTACACACACCCTGACATAATTCAGGCTGACAATTCATTGTTACTGGAAAACAAAAATTATTATTGTCTGTGCTACTTTTGGAGAATATACTTGTAGCTTTCTAATTATAAAAGAATTATTAAAAATCAAACAAATATTTAAAATTAACTGAAAAAGATATAATCCACTACATTTTTACGATTTTTATGGAATAGATAGACTATATTATAATATACATATATATACATAGAAAAGTAGGTAAGCCGTAAGTACTTTAAAAAAACTTGGAATCATCCCCTATTCTATCTTGACTGGTCATAAACGTCAAAATATTCTTTATTTCTTACCAAAATTATAGGACAAACTTTCAACCCCTATTACACCCCTTTCAAGTTTCATTTTTGCGACAGAAAGTATCGTATGTCCTTCTCCAAGATCCCATTCAATCTATACCAAACTTCATCAAAATCGGTTCAGCGTGAAGTTTAGGCATGAAAAACTAACAGACAGACAGACAAAGTTACTTTTCTATTTATAGTATTAGTAAGTATCCGTACATAGGTCAGATACTAGACACTAAGTACATAATATGTAACTGGTCAACATAAATAAGTAAATGATTTAACACTTTGTTGGTCAGATGCAAGTGTAACAATAATTTTCTTGTA